CAGAAAATGTGAATGAAAATATCTCAAAGCAGAAAAAGAAATATTAATTTGTTTCGTTTCATTTTCAAAATTGATTTTTTAAAAATGAAATCGACCAAATAAAAAAAAAACGTGTTAGTTAGCCTACCACGTTTTGTCTCCACAGACTAACTTGGTGACATTGGCCTAAAATAGCCATTGCTCTAAAATACTGTCTTAAAAAACTTGTGCCAAAATGACTGCTTACCGACATATTCCGTTTCTGTATACTGGGATCTTTTGGGGTTTCTGTTAGGATCTTATTATATAACTCTATGGTTTTGTCACATATTTCCTTTCCATTTTGGTTTTCCAAAAGAGACCTATTAGTAACAGTGTCGAGGGGATTTTGATTCTTCAGTTCAATAGCGATTTTTGGTAAAGGTTCTGGAATGGTTGGGGCACATGGAGTCGCACATTTCCCTTCATTTTGGTTTTGTTCCTGCTCTTCCAAAAGAGCGGAGCAAAGATGTGCTGCAGAGTCAAAATCTTTATGATGTTGTTTATAGTATCGTCTGATATATTCTTCTATAACAGACGACGGAAAGTTAAAAATTTCTTTAGCAGCTTCGACCTTTTCACTTGCTAATATTTTGGTCAATTCGTCTTCGTCATTTTCTAATTCTTCCGCAACGTTAGACCGCAAACTGTTAGGCATGGTATAATATTTTTCGCATTTCCCATTTTCCGATGAAGCTGGTTTTAGTTCCAGTGTAAAATCCACAACATTATTTAATATTGGAAGACATTGTTTGATATAGTCACAGTCTGGAGACCAACGATAATGTTCTGCTATGGGGATATCTATAGATTCCCATTCGATTAAAATAACCGAACAACTATGACATTTTACCCTATCGCCGGGTCCAACATAATAAAACCCTGCATGAGCTAAAGACTCAACACTGAGAAATGACGGCAAACGCACATTGTTAACGCTATAGGACCTTACCCTTTTTTCTGTACTGGCATAAAGATTTGCAGTGCTTTTTGAGATTTTGAAATTAAATAAAGTTTCCTTGTAGTTTTGAACAAATACACACCCATTATTTACTTTATAATGTTCAACTAAAGGATTGGATTTACTGTGCCAATTTTCAATTGTTTGAGAGCATTCGCAACACTGAACCTGGTCTGCTTTCCCCGTATAATAAAATCCAAGTTTACTGAGTATAAAAGGGTCAGGATAACCTAGCGGCCATGTTGTAAATGTTTGAAGTCTCTCGAGCTGTGTAGTCATTCCACAATGTTTATAATTTAACCTACTTTTATGTCCGTCATCCATTACAACAGAATATATCTTAATATGACACGTATCCTTTAGTATCGACAAATTTTCGCGTGGCCTACTTAGGTATAATCGATATTGAAATATCACTTCAGTTTTCGAGGGCTAAACATAATGTACGTCACATTTCAAAAATTTAAACACCATAGTGTAACCTGCCTATCTGAATATAGGCCTAATATCACATAATGTAGACCCATTATTATATTGTACTGTAATTCAAACACGCCACCGTATCACAAATTTATTTAATTCAAATATATAAATTCAGTTGAGATTATTCATGGTTGTGCAGTCTTAATATGTGGCTAACTATTCGCGTAGGTAGGTAGGTAGGTAGATGACAAGTTAACGTTCGCTTCCAGCGGATGCTGATATCGCAAACTAGGTAGTTGTTAGTAGTCGTAGTAGTTGGTAGTTGGAAGGATCAAATTGGATGATTCGGTGTTGTTGGTTTGGTTGTTGATTCTTCGTTAGATCTGGTCGGGTCTTGACACCAGGCTTAAATATAAAGATTAGGGAAATTCCCAACCAATAACCAATCGGACGTACAAACCACGCCCCCATTCATCATACTTCCTTGAAGACATTCATTTTCCATTAGGCCTATCGACCGACCGACTTGAGATTATTATTTGTCTCCTCGTCACTCGTCAGTCGGTGAAACTTTTGACAAGACTCATCGTGTCCAAACTATAACCATATTCGCCATACTTCGTTCATAATACCATGTCAAAACCCGTATTCGTGATACGATATAGACATTGTGGTAATGCTGGCAGGAAATTGATCAACAAATAGAACTTGATTTTATGCCTATGTTTAGACACCAGTTTCATGAAAACAAGTTACAAACTGGAGATTCTAGAAAATGTATGAGGAAATGTGATCCAACTGACAGACAAATAAACATTCTTGGATTGATCCAGATTCAAAAAATTCTAAGTGTTCTAGAAATATGAGTAAAAACTATCGGACTTGGAATATTAACTATAGTATTTATTGTAATGTTTTTATACTTAATCCACAGAATTGTGCTGCAAATATCTATATCTTTAAATCTAAAACAAAAATTTGAATTTAGTAGTAGGATATTTCAATGTCAATAAATATACCAAAGCATTGGCCAAGCAAATTGCTTTAAATTTTATCCCTATCAAATATCTGACTAAGATAAAATATGACAATCATGTAAATGACACTTTTAAAACTAACTTTATCTATGAAGGTATTTCAATATGAATTCCTAAAATGTAATTAATAATATACAGATAAATAAGATGCTAAACTTTAGGATTTAAATTACAATCATGATAAATATACAGAATTATTATACAATAAAACAAGTTTGAAGTATTCTCAACTTAAAAGCAAGGAAGTTAAAAAAAAGGGCTGTAGGGTAGAGTAGGTACATTGTATTGTGTCAAGAAACCTTCAGAATCCCCATTTTGATTAAAGAGGGCATTAGTCATGGTGTAGTGGCCTCTCCCTGGAAAATGTTCAAATGTGTTAAAACGGGAATCTTATGCGATTTTGAAAGTGATAGTAGAATAAGTTTTGTATATTTTATGATCCAATATGGTGAGATAGGGGATCCCAAAAAGCACTGCATTAATATGCCACTGACATATGGACTGAAAAGTTGGACTTAAAACGCATATAAATACAGATGGGTAAAGTATTGTTTGCTTGTTGTTTATAATGAATGAATATTTAACAATTGATTAACATGAAGTAAGTAGGTGTGTTATTGCTCTTTACAATCCCTTCAATAAACCAACCATGTAAATCAAATTCGTAGTAACCAAAATTATTATTACGCATCTTGACTGAAAAGTACTACAATATAGGTGGGTAACATTAACAATAGTACTGTATTGTATGTTAGTTGTTAGTAATGAATGGACATTAAGCGGGAGTGTTATTGCTTCGTAATGGTAATTTAGTTTTAGGTGTAGTTGTTTTAGTTGGTGTTTTATTGGCTCGAACTGATTTCTTCACCATTTTTGATGGCGGTTTCATACCACCATTTCTATTTTCTTTACATTCAGATTTCTGAAATATCCAAACAAAAGTACTTTAATTTTACCTATCATTAAATGGCCATTAATCTAGGTGAGGATAACATACAAGCCAAAGTTACATACACTCCTTGCAGCTTTATCAGATATTTGGATGGAAAATATCAACAGCATTAAAATTATCATTATTAATATTATATAAAGTTTATCCCTTCACATATATGTTACAACATGCCATACAATATAGGACTTAATGCATTAAAAGTAATTGAATACATGTATATAAAATAAAGTATGCTAGTGTAATATGAAATTTATGAAAAAAACGTTGCCTGATTAAATATTTGGCAAGGGAAATATTCACTCTGGCAACCCATTTCATATTACTATATTACACAAGCACTTTTTTAAGATCCCTTATTTATTGTATGTTTGCGCATACTTTATTTTATATACATGTATTCAATTACTTTTAATGCATTAAGTCCTATATTGTATAATAAAGATATAAAATAAAGATTCCTTTCTATATGGGGCCCTTCTCTTGAAGTTAGCCTTGTTACACCTATCAACAAAACTCTAGCGCATAACATATAAGGCCAAGGTAAAAAAAAAAAATTTTAATTTAGAAATAGAGACAAGTTTTACTAAGAATTCTTCAGTGTGAACTTAACTCACATCTGAGGACAGAGACCTCAACTCATAAAAAAAAAAAAAAAAAAAAAAAAAAAAAAAAAAAATATTTTTTAATATTCTGAATTTCAAAAGGTTCAATTTTATTTGATAATTAAAACATTCAGCTTATTTAATCCCCAAAATTCTTTTCTGTGTCATTTGGATTGTATTTCCATAAAAGTTTTTTATACTAAGGTATATAAATAATGAAGCAGGGCCAGATTTGATTACAACATGATAAGTCATGTGAAAGCCAGTAATAGTGTTCACAGCTAACCATCCATATTTGAGCCTTCAAATCCATGTGTCCAGAATTATCTGCGGTTGAAATATTGAATGTTAAAAAGACATGTCTTTCTTAAGATTTTGCCATAAGCTTATACAGAAATGGTTGTTGGAATTTCTAGTTTGACGTATATTTGAAGGAATTATGCGATGTTCGTGGAGTTCTAGTAATTCTATTTACATTTATTCAAGACCCAAATCAACCACCCAAAATGGCCAGCCATAAATCATAAGCCATAAATCAAATCATAATTTGATGGGCACTGTGAGGTCCAATACTTAAATATTTATAGATCTTATTCTCCTAATAAATCTATTTTACAGGCTTACTCATTATGAAACTAATATTGGAACATTGCCAAATTTTAGATAAATTCTTATATGCCTATATATTTTGTAGATATTATGCAGTTTTTAATCAATCTTGATGAAACTGGGTATGTATGTGTATATCAATAAGACTTCAGTCAAGTTGATGCAGAAATTCAAAATTATCACTTTCTTCTAAATTCCCATTACTTATTCATTATCAATTCCTTCAAAATTTAAGAACACAAATGCTTTATAAAGTTGTTAAAGACGGCTTATCGCAAGATTAAGATTTGTATTTCTAATTTTAATACATCTTCACAAGGCTATTACGAACTTTGTCTCATGCCTTGACTGTAATGGCCACTATTCTTGTATCTCAGTTTGACAATGCAGCAAGTTGATTGGATTGTTCACTAGTGAATCCAGCCAATCAGAGCTCTCTATAGAAAGTCTGTAAACAATTAGCCATAATATTCAGTCTTTTAGTCTTGGGCTCTGATTGGCTGTATTCATTGGCATACAATACAATTAAATAGCCTCATTCTGTGATACAGGAATAGTGGCTATTGCAGTCAAGGTATGATACAAAGTTCGTAACAGCCTTGTGAAGATGTATTAAAATTAGGAATACAATACTATATCAAAATTACAACTTAAAAATTCTGTTCTTCAGAAGAATTCTCTATAAATAATATTCATAATTCTAAAAAAAAACAATTCTAACAAATATCCCTTTACTAACCTTGCTTATCCTACTGATACTACTAATAGAAGATATACCAGAAGTAGAACTATTTACTAACCTTGCTTATCCTACTGATACTACTAATAGAAGATATACCAGAAGTAGAACTATTTACTAACCTTGCTTATCCTACTGATACTACTAATAGAAGATATACCAGAAGTAGAACTATTTACTAACCTTGCTTGTCCTACTGATACTACTAATAGAATATATACCAGAAGTAGAACTATTTACTAACCTTGCTTGTCCTACTGATATTACTAATAGAAGATATACCAGAAGTAGAACTATTTACTAACCTTGCTTATCCTACTGATACTATTAATAGAAGATATACCAGAAGTAGAAATATTTAATAACCTTGCTTGTTCTACTGATATTACTAATAGAAGATATACCAGAAGTAGAACTAATTACTAACCTTG